CTGTTACCTCTACCAGATTTCTGATTGCATCCCTGTCTCCTTGTGTACATTTTAAAAAGAAGCTTCTTACTGGTCTCTCTGTTGTCACTCTGTTCTAAGACTTTGTTTGCCTACAGCATTTAGTCACTTGTGCATTTCTGTTCTTTGGGGCATTCCACAGGCAATTCTAGTTTTCTTTCTAAAAATGTTTCCAACCCTTATTTATAATTGAACATTCATCTTTTGTCCAGTATGATTAAGCTCAGATTTGCAGGGTAGGTAATCCTGGGTTGCATCTTGAGCTCCATTACTCTTTGTAACATATTATTCTATTCTAGCCTCCTTTTTCTGGTGGGTGAGGAATAATCTTTTTATTTTATTATTTTTAATATAAATTTATTTATTTTTAGTTTTCAACATTTACTTCCACAAGATTTTGAGTTCTAAATATTTTTACCCCATCTTGCCCCTCCCCCACCCCAAGATGGCATGCATTCTGAATACCCCTTCCCCTAGCCTGCCCTTTCTTCTATTTCTACCCCCCTCTTCTCTTATCCCCTTACCCTTCTATTTTCCTGTAGGGCAGGATAGATTTCTGTACCCCATTTTCTATATTTCTTATTTCCCAGTTGCATGTGAAAGCACATTTTTTTTAAACATGTGTTTTTAAAACTTTGGGTTATATATAGGTTATACACGTGCAGTTATGCAAAACACTTCCATAGTAAACATGTTGTGAAAAACTAACTCTATTTCCCTTATTCCTATCCTGCCCTCCCATTTATTCTATTCTTTCTTTTGACTCTGTCCCTCCTCAGAAGTATTTGCTTCTGATTACCCCTTTCCCAATCTGCCCTCCTCTCTATCATCCCCCTGCTCTCTTGTCCCCTTCCCCTCCTATTTTCCTGTAGGGTAAGACAGATTTCCATACCCAATTGAATGTGCATGTTATTCACTCCTTAAGCCAAATCCTGTGAGAATAAGATTCACTGATTCCCTCTCACCTTCCCCCTTTCCTCCTCCACTGTAAGAGCCTTTTCTTTTCTGTTTTTTTTGTGAGATAATTTACCCATTCTACCTCTCCCTTTCTCTTCTCCTAGTATAATCCTCTCTCATCCCTTAATTTTATTCTCCAGATATGGACCCTTCATCTTCAACTCATCCTGTGCCCTCTATCTATCTATCTATCTATCTATCTATCTATCTATCTATCTATCTACTATCTATCTATCTATCCATACACATAATTTTTCCCCCACCAACTACCCTAATACTGAGTTATAAATGAGTTATAAATATCATCTTTCCATGCAGGAATATAAACAGTTCAACCTTAATAAGTCTTTCATGATTTCTCTTTTCTGTTTACCTCTTCATGTTCCACTTGAGTCTTGTATTTGAAAGTCAAATTTTCTATTCAGCTCTGGTCTTTTCATCAAGAATGCTTGAAAGTCCTCTATTTCACTGAATGACCATTTTTTCCCCTGAAGGATTATACTCAGTTTTGCTGGGTAGGTGATTCTTGGTCATAATCCTATCGCCTTTGCCCTCCAGAATATTATATTCCATGCGCTGCGATCCTTTAATGTTGAAGCTGCTAAATCCTGTGTTACCCTGATTGTGTTTCCACAATACTTGAATTGTTTCTTTCTAGCTGCTTGTAATATCTTCTCCTTGACCTGGGAACTCTGGAATTTGGCTACAATATTCCTAGGAGTTTTCCTTTGGGGATCTCTTTCAGGAGGAGATTGGTAGATTCTTTCAAATTTCTATTTTGCCCTCTGGTTCTAAAACATCAGGGCAGTTTTCCTTGATAATTTCTTGAAAGATGATATCTAGGCTCTTTTTTTGATCATGGCTTTCAGATAGTCCAATAATTTTTACATTCTGTCTCCTGGATCTATTTTCCAGGTCAGTTGTTTTTCCAATGAGATATTTCACATTGTCTTCTAATTTTTCATTCTTTTGGATTTGTTTTATAGTATCTTGATTTCTCATAAAGTCACTAGCTTCCAATTGCTCTATTCTAATTTTTAAGGAAGTATTTTTTTTCAGTAATCTTTTGGACTTCCTTTTTCATTTGGCCAATTTTTCTTTTTAGGGCATTTTTCTCCTCATTGGCTTTTTGGACCTCTTTTGCCATTTGGGTTAGGCTATTTTTTAAGGTGTTATTTTCTTCAGTATTTTTTTGGGTGTCCTTTAACAAGCTGTTGACTTCTTTTTCATGATTTTCTTGCATCACTCTCATTTCTCTTCCCAGTTTTTCCTCTACTTCCTTACTTGCTTCTCAAAATCCCTTTTGAGCTCTTCCAAGGCCTGGGACTGATTCATATTTTTCTTGGAGGCTTTGGATGTAGGAGCTTTGACTTTGTTGTCTTCTGGTTGTATATTTTGATATTCTTTTTCATCAAAGTAAGATAATATAGTCTGACTCTTTTTGCACTGCTTTCTCATGATCCTGGCCAATTACTTGAGTTGCCCCAGGATTGCCACCCAGAACTGTGACTCAGATCCAAGCACA